TGCCCGTGGCACCCACTTGCCCATGAGACCCCTGTGTATCCTTCCCTGCCACACCATGTTTTACTCAGGAAGGTGAGGGCAGATTGCTGTTGGAGATTTCATGCTGCCTTACCTGCTGTGCTTAAGGGCTAATCTGGTAACCTGAGAGGAATGAATTTATCTTCCTCATTTGCCTCTCAGATCTGTAAAACCTTGAAGATATTTAAACTCACCAGGATATTTTAGGCAGGTAAAGATGAAAAGCAGAATTCGGGCAGATTATGTGAGAACAGAGCAGCTGGAGGGAGTTCCCTAGGAACCTGAATGCCTTCAAGGCAAGTGCTTCAGTTTCTCCCCTGGAAAAAGGTTATAACAAAAACCGTGTACTCAGCAAGTTGCAGGGTGTTGTCCAGTGAGAGTAACTAGAGCAGCACTTGGGCAGCCAGAGACTTGCTAGTGGCTCTGGGAGCACCCTTGCCATGTTTGTGACTTGTGCCAGTGCTCCTCATGCAGAAGGCACAAGACAGGCGTGTTAAATAGCATGAGTCCCTAATCCCTAACAGGCCAGCAGCATGACTATAGAAGTTTGGTATAACTTTCCAGTATAAGGTAGGAAGTTCTCCAGCTCAGTTTGCTGTTTATAATTCCTCCAGCTAAGAATTGCATCTCGGATTCCTTGTAGATATTCTGAGTTGTGTGTTTTAAGGTAGTCGTGTTAGACTCCATTTCTCTAGTACTATGGTTGCCATTAGTAAAATTGTCTCCATAAGTTACCAAGAAAGAGACAGTAAAAGAAATGTTAACAATTTCTTGAGATCTAGTAATGAGATATAGAAAGATAGATAGATAGATAGATAGATAGATAGATAGATAGATAGATAGATAGATAGTTACATATATGACTATATAACTATAATGTATAGTTGCATGGAGTGAAAATAAAGGAGAAGAAAAATGGGACTAAACCAAAATAATCTATAGAAAACATTAAATGATTGCATGACTACCACTCAGCTTAAGAACTTCAATGACATTGCACTATAAATGATAACCATGTTCAAGCAAATCTGAAGCTCTCTTTTGAGAACTGTAACTGCTATTATTTATCTGGTCTCAGCCACAAAAACCATAGTCTGGAGCTACTGCTTACTCTTCAGGAAGGGTTTCTGAGCTTTCAAAATTACCACACTCATAAGAGGAAACTGAGGGAGACAGTTTGTACTTCAGATGAGAGTTCAGAAAGTAAATCCAAGGATGTGGGTAATATTGAGTTAGATAGGAGTTTCATTGATTGAATAATCTATAGCTGCAGAAAGTAGAGCTATTTTTCTACTGAGTTTCACTTATCTGACTTTCTTCTGAGGAAAGCTTTTATGGGGTACATCTATCAGATTGGACACAGAGGCACAATGCTCATCGGCGTATGTCCATTAAACTATAATGAAACTACAATGTAGGTAGCACTTCAACTGTCTTATTTTTATATGCTTTAAGTTTATATCATTATCTTCAGGTACTTTCATTCTTTAATACATCTGCAGCGTACTAAACTTTGTAGCAGATTACTACATCAAAAAAAAAAAGATAGATATTTTATAGGAATATGTGTTTTTCTCTATTGATGATCTAGGCTGGAGTCCCAGCCTCAGTCACAAGCCACAAACTCCCCAAACTTCAGGAATTTTATTAAAAATTCATAAGACAGGTTAATTAAACTCTGCTGTTATTTTCTCTCTTCCCTTGAGCTCCCTGGAGTGGTCTCACTGGAAAGATCCCATCACTTAGGCATTAGGCACTCATTTGGGACATGGTAGATGTGGAATCCAGTCTGTGCTCTAATTTACAGAGAAAGGATTGTCTTATGGTCTCCTAAATAGCAGGGGACTATGTTAATATCTAATCTATAATCTTCCTCCTCAAGTAATAGTAACTGAGGCCCAGGGAATGTTTTCATCATTTTGACGGACTCATAATTTTTGTTACATTTTCCCCCGATTTGGGAAATGACAGCTTTCAACAAGCAAATGATTTGCCAACCAAAAAATAAAAATAACATACAGCCCTGAAAAAGTACCTATTGCTTGTTTTGCCAGCAGTTTTACAAAAGGAAAATTAAAGACCTGATTAAAGTCCCTTAATAGATTTCAGTAGGGAGTGTACTTGGCTTTCTGGCTTCATCATCAACCCAAAATTTGTTTTCAGAAAATTGAATGGGCTTTAGTTGCACAAATACCACTCTTATGCATATGAGTTCTATGGCTAAACCAAAAAAATGGCTTTTACAGAACACTTTCTCTTCTTTAGTTAAGGACTTTTTGGCTGAGTTTCATGCTGTTGGCATGTTGCATGTAAATAAGTTGTTCATCTACTGCTGCTCATCCATCAGCCTACAGCATACTGTACCCCAGCTTTGTGTTTAGTAAAAAGTCATTACGAAGCTCACAGGTAACTGCCTATTAATACTTAATTAATCATGGCTGCACTTTCAGTCTCATTGTGAACAATGGCACAAATTCCACTGGCTTGACTAGGGGTAGGGTTTGGCCTGTTAAAATGATTCATATGAATCTTCTCACGTTCACCAGGCCATCAGCAGATTTGGCAATGCCCCGTGTGCCAAGTGTGCTGCATTTCACTGGTGCATCTGCCTGATGGGCTAGAGAACAACTGAGTCAGAAACAGGGGTTATCTGTAGAAACAGGCACAGATTTCTGTATCCACAGATTTCTCCCTGGACCCACATCCTCCACATACTGTCTTCTGGCCATCCTTAGTGGAGGGGAATGTCTCAACCCACATAACTGCCCTGACAATGCCCACTGGGGTCTGAGGGACCTCTCCAGGGGGTTGCATTGGTGCATCCTGGGGACAGGGCCTTCCTTAGTCACACTGCTTCCTTAAATTATTCCACATAGGTTGTTCTCTTTCAGCCAGGACACTCTTGCCGGCCTTGCACAGCTCATGTAGGCACCAGTCCAGGTCCAGTTACCGAATCCTGCCTCTGTTTCTGTTTCCATGATGTTGAGAACTGCTTCCTCAGGCCTTTTCTGATGTTCCAGAAAAAAAATGAAGCCTCCTAGGAAAGGGTTAAATGCTTCATTGATTAAATAATGTCTGGCATGTTTACATATTTATATTCAAAGCATTTCAAAATTTGCTCTTTCTCTCAAAAGAACAATAGCAACAACTGCTCTTCCAAATGTAAAATTTCCAGTCCATCACTTCTGTTACCACATCATTCCATCCTGCAGGTTTCCAGTTTGATTGCTGTTAAAGGTTGAAGAAGTTTAAATTGACCTTGACCTGCAAACATGTGATTTACAGTAGATGATATTGTTCTGGAAAAACAAAACTTCTGTCCTGAAGCTAAACTGCATTTAATGATTAATAGTACTTCTCCTGGGCCAAGTTCTGGCATGTTTACTAACACTGTACATTATTTTAACTCCTCCTGAAGCTCCATTGATTTTGGAGGCACTCTTCCAAAGTGAGGCAGATTCACAATATGAATAAATATACAAATATATGGTTCTCTAATATATTATCCTAATTTTGAAGATAAATTATTTGATCACTTCTAACCTTGTCTTCAGATCTGTTTGTAAAGTCCTTACAAATTATTCAAGCGTATTTTTAAAATACACAGATACTGCCTGTTTTCTTAAAAAGAAATCCCTACTGGCAATATCATGAGACATTGGAATAGAATATATATGTTTGTCCTGGAAGAAAAAAAGTTCTCTTTCTGCTTTCTAAATTATGAAATATGTTCTTGTTGGAGACTTTAATGGAGTAGGGTTAAAATCACGGAGAATTACACAAGTAATTGTAAAACTGTGAAAGAATATCCTTCTAGTGTCCCTGTGAAGCTTGAAAGTTTGGAACCATGTGTGTTAAAGAGACAAAACTGGCATTGCAGTGTTGCTGGTACTATTGGTACCTTTTTTGTTTTTTGGCATGTCTTTAGGAAACAGCAGAGAAAGAAAAATATGAAATTGAACACAGCAAATTTAATTATAAAACAAAGCCACCCACCTTGCTGTTAGGGTCAGGAAGTATAATCGCCTCCTTTTGATGCAAGAATGAGTTTAACAACATATGTTAAATGAACAATTATTTAAAATAAAAGGAAAATGCCTTTAAAACAGCTGCAGTGTCTCAGACTGCAGCACTGCAGCAGTGCAGAAAAACAGTCCATTGTGGAAGGAAGGCACATGCACAAACAAGAGCACTCCTACAACCCTGTGCCATGACAAAATCTTTGCTTTTGACAAAAGCAAAAACCAATAATTTCACAGAATGCTCTTAAATATCTCACTTGTATTTGATCTCAGCAGCTTGTTCTGCTTTTGATTTTTTTAATGTTTGTTTATTTTGGTCTTTCTTTTTTCAGTGTAATTATTTGTTGGCTGCACGACTAAATGCTAACGCCCAAAGCCACTGTTTGCTGCACAATGGCACGATGACATTGGGTGTTTTCCAGTAAATTGTGTTTCGCTGAATGTCGCAAGCGGTGGAAACACCGAGCAAGCGCGTCAGCATTAGATGCACACCTAAGAAGAATAAAAAGAAAAGAGCTTTTTGCACCAGAATAAATCCATTTCTCTTGAAAGCACCGGGAGTCACCTGACCGAGCCCGGAGCCTCCAGGATAACACAGCGCCAGCCTGCAATGGGAAAGAAATTAAGCAGGGCTGCCTCCGCCTCGCACACGCCTTTTAGCCTGTCGACGCGTTGCCTGTCCGTATCCCTCACAGCGCATCTGTAGAGCCATTAAATTGGATAATCCCTCTGGCCTTTGATACATTTCTGGACATGATTATTTCATTACTCGCAGTATATCAGTAGGATCATAATAAAAAGGACTTCTGACAACCTGCCAAGAGTTTTGTGGCCTTGTAAACACAAAAGTGCTCTAATAAAATTTTATTAAGTGTTAAAAAGTCATAAAAAGTGAAATAACATAAACTACAAAATTTACTGTCCTCAGCAAATGCTGAAAATATCGTCCATAGTAAAATTAAATTAGCATGTAATAGCGCAGCAGCGTGGAGTGGGCTTGAAAGAGGATCCGGGAGGGGAAAAAAAAAAGGCGAGGGGTGGGGGGCGGAAAAGAAAAAAAAGAAAGATCGCACTTGAACTGAGCGCGGGTCACGGGGGGTTCGCTGTCGGCGATCCCCGCGTGTTCCCGCGGGCCGCGGGGCCGGGCGCGGCGCGCCGCCAGGCGGCGCTGTGGGAGCGGGAATGCGCCGGGCCCGCGCCGCGACCCCCGCGGGCCGCCGGGAGCGCCCCCCGCCCCAGAAATGAGCCATTTACGGGGATTTTGGCGTCTTCTTGCAAATCAAAAAAAAAAAAATGGTGCGAGGGAAACAATACGGGTATATCTGGGCTGGAAGGCTCCTGGCGGGGCAGGCAGCGCTGAGCGAGCTCCCGACGGCTTCGGCCTCGCCGCGCCCCGGCTCCCCCGCGCCCGGCGCAGGGTGTCCCGTGCGGGGGCGGGCGAGGCTGCCGAGAGCGCTCGCCCTCTGCGCCCCGGGCCGCGCAGCAGCCAGGTACGTTCAGCCTTTTCTTCGCATCCGTGCTGCCCCGCGAGAAGGCACGGTCGGGACGGGACCGGGCGAGCATCGCCGCACACAGCCGAGGCGGGGCGGCGGACGCAGCGGGACGGGACGGGACGGGACGGGACGGGACGGGACGGGACGGGACGGGACGGGACGGGACAGGCTAGGCTGCCGCCGCTCGCCGTGCTCCCCCGTGCCGTGCCGCCCGTCCTTGCCCGTGGGAAGGGGCTACGCTTGTGTCCCGGCTGCCTCGGGCCGGCAGCGCCCGGTTGCGGGGTGCGGGCATTGAGGGAGCAGGCGAGCGGCGCTGCCAGGTTCTCCGGGCATCGCGTCCCCCTCGGGGCGTCCGTCCCTTGATGCTCCGCCGGGATTTGTTGTGGCTGGCCGGGAAGGAAGCGACCACGCTGCCGTCACATGGAACCGCTTGCCAGAGCCGCCCGAAACTTAATGCGGGAGGGGGGAGAGAGAGGGAGGGGGGAAAGAGGGAGGGAGGGGAGGAATAGTAATAAAACAAGGAAATTGTGGTTAGAAGATAGTTTAAGTTTCGTTTTATTCAGGTGAGGAGGATAGCCGCTTCTCATGTGGCAAGGCTGATGTTCAAGGCCACTGTACGAAAAATAGCGACTCGCTGCCTAAGCCCGGCTTGTCTTTGAGCCTGGGCTGGTGCTCGCTGAAGTGCAGCCGGAGCAGCCCCGGCGGGGAGCGGGCAGCGAGGGGTCCGTAAGGGAAAGCTGGCTGGAAAACAGACGATACATGAGCAGGAGCAACGAGCCTCCTTCTCACTAAGGGGAAAAAAAACCCACGAAGTTAGTTTTAGCTGAAATTCCAACAACTCTGCTCATTTCAGTCGCTTTAAATCTCTACACTGTTTCTTAAGGCAGGGTTACAAAGAAAAAAGAGAAACAGTATTGTTATTTATTTTGAGACATCTGAATGAACGGGAAAGTTGTAGGTTTAGCATAGAGCAGCGCTTGCTTTAGCTCGGCTGCCATGAATTAAGGCTAGTTTCTAAAAATAGGTATTTCTGCTTGCACATAATTGGCTTGGTGCATGTGCAGACCATACAGCCTTAAAATGTATATTTATCTCACTGATTCAAAACTTGTAATGTTTTCTATACCCCTTATGTTCCTCACCTCTGATTAAGACAATGATGATATTACTTGGTAATTCATTATACTTTTACTGACAAATTACAGAAATGAAATACATTTGGAAAAGGAGCAAAACCCTTCATTTTCTTCCATCTCAGATTTTTATATAAATCTTCCATAATTTTACAGTAATGACTGCAGTTACTAATGCTCACAGAAAGTTGTACTTTTTAAACAGAAGAAAGCAACCATGTCACATTGTCTACTGCATTTTTTAAAAATCTGAGCTTTACACCATCCATAGGAACACACGCGTTTTCAATGAAAGCTAAATAATGATTTTCTTTTCTAATTAAATTTTAAGTCTTCTCTCCCCAAATATAATGTAAAGGCTGCAAAAATGCAAACAGAAAGTGTAGCAGCACTGTGATCAAAACTTTGAACTTACATGAATTAAAAAGTCAGCAAAGCACTACAGAATTCCACATACATGTGGCTAAGGTGTGTGCATGACTGCATAACTTTGAAGAGTTTTTAAGTTAAATGAAGGGGTTTGGAGTTAGTTTGCTCTACTGAAAGACTTTCCAGGATCAATGCTAATATTTGTTGGATTTTAGAAACATTCCCAGGAATTCCCTCTTTAGGCTATGGTGAGCAGAACACTTTTCTTCTTAAATATGGTCTTAAAAACATAATTCTGTCATCTGGCTGATCAGCTGTTTGCTATTTTGTGCTGCTCCCTGCCTGAGCAGGTACTTGTACAGTATCACAACATGAAGAATCCCGTTTGCTCCCCGGGGTTTACAGACAGGACTCGGGGTACATGCTTATGTGTGCAGCGTACGGGTTTCTGTGGTAAGAGAAACTTTTTTCCTAAATTTAGCATTCTAATTTGTGATGGGTGATTTTGAGTATGCAGCACTACTTCCATAATGGAATTTTTATATCAGCTTAACATGACGTAAAATTTAAAAGATAAAGATCCGCCAGGCGACTGTAGGTTGTGTTTAAATGGACGTAATAAAGGTTCAATGTGCAAAGGTCTGACGCTGCATTAGACAGGGCTGGCACTCTTGTTGTTTACATCCAGCTTCATCCCCATGGTTCAGTATCCGACACTGCCTCGCAATTCCAGCTGTGACAAGCAAACACTGGAGCTCTGCCTAGGGAAGTTGCAGCCTGCCTGTCAGAAGGGCCTCAGAGGGTGAGGGAGGAAAGCCCAGTTACAGCAGAGTGCAGTACTTGCAGTAGGCACGATGGAAATTATCTGGGCTCTGCGACTGGGGCTGCACATGTGGCACTTTTTTGGCAGTGTTTCTTTACATGCTTGCAGAATTTAAAGGCATACACTGTCCAACAGAGGCCTACCTTGCAATACATTAACCAGATCTTTCTAGGTTGATTAATAGCTTCAGTCTTTTGTTGATGGATTTTTATTTTTACTTTTTTTTTTTAGCTGCAATACAGCTGGACCCTATGCTACAGAAAGAGATAATGGATGAAATCTTGGCTCTCCTGAAGTCAGTCATGAAACTCACTGTCTTCATTGGAGCCACGTTTTTATCAACTGCCTCATAATACTTTGTATCAGCCATATGGAGGAGATTTAAAATTGGCTTTAGAAGAAATAGAAATTAGCTCCTCTACAAATTATTTGCATGGGTTATCTGGGGGGCTTTTCTCCAGGTAATATAAATGGCAACACAAAGTAAAAAACTGCCAAAAAGACAAATAGGTATATAACATTTTGATTTCCTGTAACTACAGCATAACTCAACTAAAATATTATCTTAACATCAACAAGGTTGGATTATTCTATGTAGGACCACCAGGTCTGATGTAGATGAAGCAAGGGCATGGGAAGACATTCAAAGGCACAATAGGCTATTTACTGTTCATGACACGTTTTAGAAGATGTGAAACTGTGTCAATGACGCTGCAACATGAGAGGCAGTGAGTTAAGCAGGAGGGACAGTATTAATTCACAGCCCTCGCTTTTGTATATTTAGTGTTATTGAATTGTGCTTCCCCTTGATATTTTAAACAGATGCATCATAATGGACTTCTCAAAATCTGATTTAAACCATAACACCAGAAAGCACGATTTTGCTAAAAGGGGAGGGAGGGAAAAAGAAACTGCTGGACTCCCTGCCACTGCCACAGTTGTCTTTTCACAGACAGTTTTTTCTAATCCATTAGCCTGCCAGACAAGGATGGCACCTATCCAGTGTAAATATTACATTTTCAACATTTGGATGGAATTTTGAGCAATATTTCTTATCCCCTGAGAGTGTACACTTTATAAATACAATATTATCTGCAATTCTGAGCTAGGTTGTGGTAGGATATGACTTTATAATGCAAAGGATATTTAAAGAACACTGTGTATGGACTCACTTACTGAAGAATAAAACTTCTTCCTCTAAGTTATTTTAATTTACAGTGAAAATTATTTAAGCACAGCATCAAACATGCTTTTTTTTTTTTTTCTGGAATAGGGAGGATTCAGACATGATTTCGGAGGAATAACTCCATGTGTAGACAAGATTGGTTGCTACTGTTCAGCATAATCTACACTGTGCATATCTTGAAGTAGAAAGCCACACTAGCATTTTTGGGAGCTAATGTCCTCATTGGACTAAACTCTTCACTGTGTATATTCCAGTAATATCCCACTAACTGTGCCAGATGCTGACAGAATTCCTCGTTGGAAATAATTATGAAAGTTAATCCATCCATTGCAAGCAGTGAATCTTCTTAGAGCAAGAACTTGTTCTGACATCCCCTCTCTGTTTTAAACCCTCTTTCTTGTCAAAGGGAAAATAGGCCATATTTGGATGGAGCCCCAATACAATTTCTTTGTGTTTGTTGTTCTAAGTAAAAACAACATAACTGGTTTGGATAGTCATGTGTAGGGAAGGAGGAACCACACCCAGACACAGCAGTTCTATCACATGCTTAGGCTGAACTATTTGCCCTGAAATTTGTGTTTGCAATGAAAAACCTGACCCATCTTTAACTACAGAAGTATTGCTTAGGACTGTTTTAATATATACCAGATACAGTCCATTAAACTGGAATAAATATAATCCTGATAATACTAGTTTCACATTTTTCTACTTGTAGGTACTTTTCCATACTCATTTTCTGCTGTTTTGAAAGAATGTCCTTATTTCCTGACTTGGAAGTACAGAGCAATGCATTTGTCGCCTGTTCAGTTTCCCGCCTTCCCTTCAGTTTGTGGCTCATGACCCTTTGTGTCTTTGGCCTTATATTTACACACTTTCAATGAAATATTATCAGCTGCTGAGTGATTCTTGTTTTCCAGTTGCTGCCTGCAGATACCAAACATGGAGGTCTGGCAGTACAGTAGAGGGCAGGTCATGGAGCCAAGTAAAGAGGAAACCCCACACCCATCTGGCTACAACAGCAAACTGAACAAGAAATTACAGATTTTCATAATGAAAAGCTGGGTATGGAAACTCATTACATTCACATAGAAGTGCTTTACCGTGGTCCTGAAGGAGAGACACATCAGTGTGATGGGCTGACTCTGGGCTTGTAATCAGAGCTGGGGAATCTCTGCTGGCCTGGCCGTGGCTTTCCAAGAGCCCGTGGAACGCCCCGTGGTGCCCCAGCACAGGCAGCCAGGGCACAGTTCTCTCTGGCAGAGAATCAGGTCTTACATTTCAGCCTTTGTTGCTGCAAAAATAACCTTAGAAATAAGAAGCCTGAGTAAACTAAGGAGCTGGCAGGAAGCTTGGGATAATAATTCCGAGAAGTGCGAATTGTGCCCATCAAATGTGATACCTTAGAGGCCTGATAACAATGCATTCAGAGCCAGACAATATTAACTATTAATGGCAAGCCCAATGGCAACACAAATAACTGGCTAAC